AAGTTGGGGCCGCTTTGGAGGGAGCGCCTTCTGACAGAAAAAAAGCGCCCACACGGTCGCAGGCAGCAAGCAGAGCTCACGGGGCTGGCTTTGGCGTTTGCCCCCGCCGTCCACTCGCCCGCTGGCACTTTTTTGTCGAAGAGGAAGCACGAGGGAGAGGAGCGGAAGGGCGCCTTGGTGCGCCGCGCGCTCCGTCGAAGCACCGCTTGGCTTTGTTCACTTCCAACGGAAAGGCGGAAAAGACCTTAAAAACACAAACAAACACTATGAGGGGAAGGGAGGCGAAAACTTTCCTCAGGTGCACGTGGGAGCGATAAGGCAAGACCTGGACGGCTTCTCTCCCACGCATCCCCAAACCCTTTCCCCAAGCGAGTCAACCGAGCCCTGGGGAGGCAAAGAGGGGGTGTCTTCACTGCGGTGGGTATTCACACAGCCCCCCTGATCCCTGTTGCCTCCATGCCGGGCGAGGAGGAGAGGCAGCTGTTGTTGATCCAGAGGCGGAGGCGCTGGTGGCACAGGATGGCCTGCTCCGTGCGAGGAGAGCCCTTGGTGCCCGTGCTACTGGTCTCCTGGACTTCGGCAGCCTTCATCATCTCATACACCATCGCAGTCCTCGATGGCCACATAGAGCCGTTTTTCCCCTATATCAGGTGAGACTGGCGAAGGCGGGGCTGGAAGGACTGGAACTCCCCGACTGGGAGAACTGGGGCAAGAATGATCCCTTGGGGAAACCTTGCTTGCTCTGTGGCCCTTGGGGAATCCAGATAAAAACAATCAAGGGGTAAAGGAGGTCATTTGTGATAGCAGAAGGCTATCCCAAGAGAAAGGAAGGGGGGGGCAGTTCTCCAAACAGGACATGCTCATGGGAATTTGGCCTGTCTGGAAGAACCTTAGCAGATTAAGTAGCACAGCATTGAAAGGACAAAGTTAGACTCTTTCTTCCTGGATATTTTAATTCTTGACTTGGAGTTTCAGTGGAATTTAGACTTTTGATTAAGTAGGTTTAGGATTGCCCTTCTAATCAATGGAAAGGCTAGCCAGGATGAATACTGCAGTCTTCTCAAAATCGGTTAAGCACTGAGACTGCAATCCTATAGCTGTTTATGGGAGAATAAGTCACATTAAGCTTAATTGGACATAACATCAGAATAGAAATGTATACATTCCGTGTGTATCTAGAAAGAATGCACACTGCATTGTAGCTAAATGTTAATACTGTAGCCTGATTTTTTATGTGTGTGTTTTCTGAATTCCCATTGATTAGAGTGATATTTATTCTCAGCTAAGTGAGAGAAGTTTAAGAATAGAATCAGCTCTCTATCTGAACAGCGGCCTTTCTTTCTTGCTGAATATCTGCAAGCTGGATTCTAATGGATGCTTTTTACCTCTGGGTTTCATGCACCAATGACGGTGTGGGTTATACAGGATTCTTATAAAGGATGAAAAGCAAGATCTCCTCCACTTTTTATGATCTTAAATGCATACAGAACTGCACTTTTGTAGCTGAGTCCAAGTCTACTTCATTTAGAAACAACTCCTATTGATTGCAAAAACCTTTATGATAAATATGTTATAGAGTATGTTTTGGAATTATTGTAATGTTTCAAGTTCTTAAGATCTCAAAACAAACATGTCAGCAATCCCCCATGTTTCAACTTTTAGTATTTATCAGGGATAATAAATAAATTACCCCTAAAATTGCTTTCTCCTTGTTTTGGTCATATCTAACCTTTGGGGGATGCTTTTTGAAAACACCATTAATGTGTGCAGAAGTGTTAGCATCTCTCTCATCTGTTGTCCCATTCAATGAACCTGCTTCAAAACTCAGCAGCCATGGGACTTTTGTATTGGATTAAAGTTTCTGAAAATTTGCAGCAATTCTCTCAGAGATAATTCTGGATATTTTAGCCAAAATCATCATCATCATCATCATCATCATCATCATCATCATCATCATCATCATAGCCCTCTCAGATGTTTTGAATTGCAGATTCCACCTTAGACATGAGTCTTTATGAAGGTGGGAGAAGTGGCTAGATGGAGCTAAGCACAGTGGGGCCTGCAAGGTATTAGGGGTCTGGTGGTTTCCTGAAAGCCACTTGTATGGAGCATAATGGTCAGGGAGACTACCACACCAGTAATGCCTTGCAGCTAAAAATCAGTGTTTTGAGTTCAGTCCTCAGTACTACTACCAACACAAAGCTAGGAAAGAAATCCTGGGGAGTGTTGCTACCAGGCAGTTCAGGTAGGACTGAGCTACATGAATAAGTGACTTGCTATGTTCCTATGCTTCCTAAATGAATACAGGATATAGGGGGCCATTAAGAGCTTTCAGCAAGACACAGTGGTAGTAGTGATGATGCCACTATTACAATGATTTGAGACCTCGATACCTGGCCTTCTTCCAGAGAGATCTGCCCGACTTAACTCTATCTTTCCAGGCTAGGCATTTGAGAGCATTGACCCAGAGAGAGGCCCAGAAAGAGAAGATCAGAAATCGGACCTTCTTGGCAGTTGCTCCTCACCTGTGGAATAATCCCCCACCCAAAATACTCCTGGGCTCTTCAATAGAAATGTTCAAGAGATCTTTGAAAACTTGGCTGTTCAGACAGGCTTTCCCAAATATCAAAGTGCAGAGGTGTTTTCAGTGCTTAAGTTATCTGTTCTCCCACTCTGTCTTATTAATTTTTTTATGTTGCCTTTTTTTAGTCTCTCTTTTTCTTAGTTGATGTTGATTGATACATTTAATCTGAATTTTTGTACTATTAGGTTGTGATTTATATGAAGTATTATTAGTTGTTTTATCATCTTGTGAACTACTCAGAGTGGCCTTGTAGCCAGATGGTGGTATAGATACTGAATAAATGAATGAATGAACATACATCTATATCGATATCTATTAAAAAGTTTGATTGTGCATAATTAAGAAAATGAACAATATAAGAGTTCTGTTAGATTAGAAAAAGGGCCTATGAATTCTAGTGTTCAGTTGGCCTATAAGCCAACCAGTTGCATATATCATGCCCACAAATAGAATGTGAATGCAACAGCACTTTTGTGCTCATGCGTCTTAGCAACTGATGTACAGAGTACTGCTTGGACATAATACAAAAGAAAATATGCTCATTGTTATTAACAAAACGAAATCTGATACTGTTAGAGTTACTGACCTGTTTGCTACTTAACATCCAAATGCAAACTGGATGTGTGAAGATAATGTTATACTTTCAATCTCTTTACAATGTTTTGAAGCAGAAGTTGCAAGGAGTTTATCTGGTTAATTCCCCACCCCAACACCCATTTCCTGTAAAACATATGCAATTTTCTTAGCTGGAAAAATATATAGGAAAAGCCTTTGTGCGCATATGTAACTGCTTGAGTGTAGGGGGAAGTAATTGTGTTGGAGTTAAGAAGTCCAGATCTTGATTTAACTGATTGTTGCTCTTATTTGGACAAAAAGAAAGCGATGCATTCATTTGTATCTTCACTAAGGCTGGCCTTGCACATAGCAGTAAACCAGATTGCAATGTGTTGAATTCTGGCTTGCTACATCCATACCTTTCTCTGAAATCAAATCAGAGATTATTAGTAAAAAACACATTGAGAAAAAGACATGGTTTGCTTTTAAACTTTGGTATTAAAATAACTATGAGTGTGTTTTACACCTGAACTCAGAATTGTGGCTTGTCCCTCACTTGTTTCTTACACTGGCAACTATGAAATGGAAGTTGACCAAAAACGTGTAGGAGAAACAAGCCAGAAATGGAGATAGTAAACTAGGGTTTGTTTATATGTTTTTGTGGTGTGGAAGATAGTTTGTAGCTAAAGCAGAAAACATGACCAACGTAAACCTTGGCTTGATCTGACATGTGACTGTGGCCAATGAGTAGTCTGCAACTTGCCCTTTTCAATTTTAAACTAGTATTTAAAATATTTGTTTCTTCAAATTCCTTTATCTACAATCCTTGGGTCCATAAAGCTAGTTGAAGTATTAGAGACGTATGAAGTTCTTGACAGGGGTTCTTGGGTGTAACATCTTTTGACCAGAATATGCTTACTTTGTTCCTCATAGAAATATATCCCATAGTTGTTACACAAACCATCCCATGTCTCCAGCCGCTGCTTCAGCGATATCTTTCCCACCTCTGCAGCAGCCTATGCCTTTCCCTGGATGGAAATCCTGTGACTTGAACAAGATCATGTGGCTTCCGTTCAAAACTGTTTGCATGTTAAATTTTGGTTACCCCCACTTCTAGTGGCAACGAGAGTAGGAAGAGAGTCAGGTGGATAGCACATGTTAAACTGTAAAAATAGAACTTAGCACACTAGAGAATGTTCATTTGAGCTGGTGCATGAGTTAATAAGATTTTTATATTTTATACTTGTTTTTCAGAACTCTTAGAAAAGAAAGAAATGATCTGGACCTTTTAATTCAAAATTAGAATGTTAAGTATATGTTTAACTCCTTTCCATGAAACAATCGACGGGTAATATTTTTATGTTTGTCTGAATAGTATCCTTTCTTATGGGTATTGGTCAACCTTATGAAACAAGAGCCTACAAATACTCTTCAGTAATCTGGCTAATACACCTGTATTTGTTGTCTATAGTTTAAAGAAGGAAAAAGCCTGAAATATCTTTGTCCAGTTGGCTGGAGACAGTTTTTAATTGTCAGACGTTATCAGGCAAGTGGCTGTTTAGAAGCCCAAGTAGTTACAGGCAAACATTTATATAGTTCTGAATTTATATAGTGCGAGATCTAGAAGTAGATAATTTTTTTGATCTATGTAAGATCTCTCTCTCTCTCTCTCTCTCTCTCTCTCTCTCTGTGTGTATGTGTGTGTGTGTGTTTATCTAGATAAATCCTTAAAGGTGTTGTTAGTTCCTATTATCTATGCATGTGCACACAAACATACTCTCACACATATACAAATAAGTGTAGTGGACAATTCAAGAGTGAGGTTTAAATGTCATCTTAATACTTCCAAAGTATAGAAGAATAAAGATGAATGATATTCAGTACAATTTCAATTGCTCGGAATGCTCTTAAAACACTAAGTGTTCTTTACAGTAAGTTCAGATTGTGTGTTGGTCACACCTAGGCGCCATTCTCCTCTTTCATAGTATTCTTCAAAGGCTTTGAAGTGATTGCCATTTAATATAGTTTTGAGTTAGCAGAGGCCAGCCTCCAGTTGCAGAAGTACTTCAGCTCTGTTACAAGTGGCTCACTTGGGACATGAATTTTCTGCTTGGAGTTTAATGAAAGCGTAAATATAAGACTGTTCTTTTAAAAAAGAGATAAGAATACTTCTTGAAAATGCCTAAATCAGAATGGTATTTTGTAAGCAATAAAAGATTGTACACCAAACACTGCACTGTTTGACACACACCCAGTTTAAGTGTTCTTCTTCATATCCAAACAATGTATGACCCTAGTGGCTTAACATAAGCAGACAGCATAGTGGATGAGAGAAGAGAGTGTTTTGTAGACAATCCAATGGCTTGTGGCATTTAATTTATTTTTTACAGCCATAAGTAACAAGTTTAGTTATTTCTGAAAAATGATAAAGAAGAGAATGATTTTTAAACATTGTTACCATAGCAGTAACTAATTAAACTTTTTACATGTGGTGACTAACCACGTTCTAGAACAGCACCACTGATTACATTTTTAAAGAATCTTTCCCAACTCCAGCCATTAGTCATGGTGACAGAAATGTAGATATTATGTCAGTATAGTAGTTTGTATTAGTATTGGTGATAAACTGAGTGTAAGAACTGAATATGGAATAGTTGGGTATGCAAATAGTGAAGCAGATTAATGTTTCAGTTGACTGCCCACCCGCTTTAGGGAATCTTTTTCTATAAGTAATTTTGTACAATGTGCATTTCATTTTCTCCAAGAAAGAATGTGGATATTTGAAGTATGTTCAGAAGTCTAGAATTTTGTTAAATTATTTTCTTTCTTTGGCGTCTTCCAAATTTTCAGTCTATCATGATGTTTATCACGGGCGTAATTGGTCCACATTCTTGGAAATATGTGTCAGAAGCTGAAATCTGGCTAAAATCTTGTTGCATTGTTACACAAGGGGAAGGCAGCCATAGCATTCACTCATTTCTAGCCGGCAGTCACTGCTGGGATTCGTGTGTGTGTGTGTGTGTGTGTGTGTGTGTGCCCATTGGTTTGGTGCACTCTTGGGAATCTCAAAGGAGACTCCCTGAATTATCAGCTAGGAATACGTGGATGCTACCGATTTCATTTTCTGGCTGTGTAACAGTTGCGCTCATATCTTTCTGGTGGATTTTCTGTAGGCAGGAGGTTGGCTGCTGTGCTTTTGTTCTGGTCGAAAATGACTTTTACGTTTTTATTTTTTCATTGATTTTAGTGGAATTTGCCATTTCAACAAAAAGGGTATGATTTTTACATAATACAATGTACATCAGCCTTCCCATTGAGAATATAGCAAATTTAATTGTAATTATTAAATTTATTCCTATAATACTCAAAATACATTTTTGTTTTTATTTGTTTCAGTGATACAGGAGCAAAGCCTCCAGAAAGTGTTATCTTTGGAATTATGATTACCATTTCTGCAGTCCTAGGTATGTATCTGTTTGTTCAGATGCTTTTATTGATTGAATTTTCTAGTCCAGCTCATTCTAAATTGGGTAAAAATGGTTGCGTATCAAACTGGCATGTATTTTGAAACAGTTAAGAACAGGAGGTATACTATGATTTCTTCCACCCTCAATCTGATGTCACACTGACTACATATGTTTTATTTTCATTCAGAGATGTTTCTGGTATCACTAGAGAAACTTAAAAAGGGAAGTGAGCAGGCTTTCTGTAAGACATCTCCAAGAGCTGTTCACAATGAAGCCTGTAGGGCGTAGGAGATGTACAATGTACTCTCTGAAGAGGAGATGTGGTGGGGAAGGATTATGATCAATCAATACCTTTTTCTGAAATACTGTTTTATCAGAGTGAGAGTTTAAAACTATGAAATAGTTTTAAACATATATTAAACAAAGTTCCAATTTTGTTTTAAAAGTTCCTGGGATTAGGTGTGATATGTAGATGAATAAAGCATGTCTAGAAAGACACTGAAAAAAGAATACACCACCCACTACCTGCTGGCCATTATCTCTTGTTTAGTTGATACTAGAAGATATTTTAGAACTCACCAAACAGGCCTTGTTTATTTCAGTTTAATCTCTCCCCCCTCCCCCCAACACAAACCTCCTGCCTAGGTCAGTCACAGAGGTACGTTGCCATGCCACCTGAAGCTTCATGAGCTAGAAAAAAATGGGATGGAGAGATGTTGGACTGCAACTCTTACGGTTCATCAGTTTTGACTCTCCTGACTAAGTCATGTTAGAGTTGCAATCTGACTATATCTGGAAGACCCTGTGGCGATGTATTTTGAATTACCCTGCAGGCCATTAATAGGGAAATCTAAAGGAACATCTCTCTCTCATTATACAGCATATTCATTACTTTTGTGTGTGTGTGTGTGTGTGTGTGTGTGTGTGTGTGTACTCACTCTATTCTGTGCCCAATGGTTTGTGATTATTTTTCATTTTTGTTTCTCCCTCACACTCTCTTTTCCAGGTGCAATTACAATGATCATGAAATATTTGATGTTAAAGAAGCAAAATGAAATGACACATTTTAATTCCTCTTGTTTCAATTTACTGGCACTATGTTTTGGAATCCTGGGTTGTATTGGAATGAGTATCATTGCTAGCGTTCAGGTAGGTCTAAACCAGTGTATGGTTGCTTTAATGATTTCCCATTTCTCCTTCAAGTGGCATAGAAATAATTAAAACAATTTTAGAAATAATCAAAACAATTTTAGAGTATATGTTTTAATTGCATTTTAATTGTTTTGACTTTTTATTGTATTTTAAATGTTGTAAGCTGCCCAAAGACCTTTGGGTAGTGTGGGCGGCATATAAGCTAAATAAAACAAACAAACAAACAAATAAAACTATCATAATAAAATAATGAAAAATACTGTATTTTCCATCAATTTTTCCCAGGGGTGGAAAATATGAAGCTCCATGTGGCTCCCAGGGGCCAAATGCTGTTCCGAACAGCACAGAAAATCTTGCACCTTCTACGTGGATTTAGGGAGCAATTATATCACATGATGAGCCTCTCCTCTAGAAATTAATTTTTAAAACACTGTTGGAGCATCTGGCTATAAAGTCGGAGATTGGGAACCCAGTTCCCCACTGTATTATAAGCTCAGAGAGTTAGATAGAGGTTGGGAGTTCAATTCCCTGCCTTGAGTGCCAGAAGAGCCATCTGTATGAACTTGAGCAAGCTGCACAGTCTTCAGCTGCCCACCAGAAGGAAGAAAAAGTAAATCATTTTTGAGTAACATACCTAGAAAACCTTGGAAAAGGTCAATGTAAAAGGAATGGCTGAGGCAGTCAGACCTGCTGGGCTGTATATGGACATGAAAAGTTTTGCAAGTAAATATATTCTTAACTTGTTTTCTAGAAGAAAGTGCTGTTAGTAGATTACAATTCTGCTAATGTAAAAAATGGAATAGATGTGAAAATAATTAAATTAATGTGAAAGCTGTAAGAGTGATTTTGAAAGAGGCAGATATACACACAGAACCTCTTCACATATACAGCAATGCTTTTACTTTCATGTTTCATGAAACTAGAACATGAATGCCTTGCAAGTGTATTGCCATGATATATGAAGTAAACATGCACAGTACTAATTTAATCAATTAAGCAGAAAAAAATAAAAAGTCTAGACTGCTGAATGCATTTATGTTGTAGTCAGTTCATGGCTATGTGGAATTAGCACATGGACTACTAGCAAATGGACTGTTCCAAACAGAAACCACTCATATCATCAGTGATCCACAGTACAGCCTATTCTGAACAATAATCTTTTCCTCTCCCAAGCTCTGGCCAGCCGACCTGTACTTGTTTACAGACAGCTCCATCAGTTTTAAGCACATGTAACACACAAACCATGCAATATGCTCACAGGAACAACTCTGCTGTATACCTAGATGCTAAACCTCAGCCTCATATCTATTCCTGAAGTATCATTATGGGTCTCAACAATGTTATGCACAACACTGGGCTCATTTACTTTTAATCTTTCAATGTGATCTGTACAATGCCCCACTGCATTCTGCACAGGGCAAAGAGAACAATTTCTTTAGATTAAATAATGCTGTTGCCACTTGGGAAGTTCCTCAGTAGTGAACTTGTCACCCTCATTTTTCCATCCCACTTGGTCTTTCCTGAAATACCATGAACAGTGTGTATATAAAACTATATTCTAAGTGTTTTGCTCCATATGTCTGAGGAAGTGGATTCTAATCCATGAAATCTGGCACCAAAATAAATCTTAGTCTGTAATGTACCTTAATACACTTGTTTTTATTTTTCTCTTTGGCTTTGTTACATAGGCAGAAAGCAAATAATCACAAGCAGTTTTATTTTTAAGCACATTTGTAGGCATACAGATTGCTAAGATATCAATGAGGAATTTTTTAAAAGAAGCAAATGGAAATACTTGTAAAAAGAATTCAATTGAATGGGTTGAATCTGAATATTTTTGTAGCTAGAGCAGACCCAATAAAATTAATGGGATGATATTACCTATTATTGGTTTTGATAAGTTTATTCTAAGTGTGATTAAATCTTGATTACATCTCCTGTAAGTGTAATTTGCATGTACTATTTACAATTGATTTCACAGACTTGAGGAATTGTTGGAAGTGTATTCAAATACAGTGTTAAGAGTCTCTTTTTTTGGTTTATATATACATGTCAAAACAAACTTTTCTATGGCAACAGAGAGGTATACAGTACCAACAAGAGGAACAAGAAAATCTTCTGATTCTTAAGCTTGAATCTTAATCACAAAGATATGCTTAATTTGCACAAAATAATTCTTAAACTATACAAGTTTCATAATTTCTGCCTGGAAAGATATGCTATAAGTCCATCATGAATCCCAGTATGAAGATAAGCAGAACAACCAAATCGATTACACTTCCCTATTCCTCGTGACTGTTTCTTTAAAATTGTTGTAAGAAATTTATTTCCTAAGAAAGAAGTTCTTATTGCTGAAGTTTTTGCAATGACATGGAGAATTCTGTACTTGTGAAATAATTTGCCCAAAGCAGCCAGATATTACTAGAACAAAAGATGTTCTGTGCCTGCTTCTTCCCTTAACAGTTAGGTATTCCAATAGCTTTTAAAGTAATAGCATATGGTATTACTTGTATCCATATAGTGCCTTGGGGATAGGGACCAAAGCAACATGACCAAAGTGCAGCTTCTTTTTCCAATAGATTACACACATGAAGAGATACATAGCATATCTCTGCCCCTCTGACTACAGAAGTGTTGTTTATTTGAATGGGGTAAACCATTCCTAATGTGCCATGCTAGATAGCATTGGATTGGGTTGACCTTTATGTGGGGTAGGAATTAGTAAAATGTCAAGATTCTCCCCCCCTCCTGGGCTATCTCCAGTTGAAAAGTAGGAACGGTTGTGTTTCCTCTTTTGCAAATGATGGTGTAAATACAGTTTATTGTTTTAGTTAATAAAATTAAGATGAAAGGGAACAGCCACATCCCAGCAACCTGCTATGATGGCCATATTTAAGCACTATTTGAAACTTATCTCACTCTCGCAGACACACAGAGACACACAGTATTTATATATGCATTTATTCTTCACCATTTTACCCAAGGCTCTTGTAATCAGAGTGCAGAGGGTTGCTGGAGAGATCCAAAATCCATGGAATGAATTGACCTGCCTGTGCAATGAAACCTCTTTACCTCTGTAGGGCAGAGAGTTCTGTCATTTGAAATAACACTTCCAGTGGCTTGAGGACTTCAAACTCTACAACAAATCAAGCCACAGTGGAGTGGAGGAAAATCTAATGATTTGCTAGAACAGCTTTCTTAAAAAACCTACTGGAGCTGGGAGTTTGCGTAGCCACTGTGCCTCTTTGAGAGGGGCTTGACTTGATGATCTACAGGGTCCTTTTCAGCTGTGCAGTTCTAAGATGATGACGACTGAAAGGACCATTTGTTTTAAAGAACCCTGCTTTCAAATGCCTGCTGCACCATGAAGCGACATGTTTTACAAAGCCAATATGACTTTGCATGATTGTCTCTTTCTGTGTGCATTAGTGTAACTGCAAATTTTTCCCCATTTGTCTTCGCAGGAGCTGACATATCCTGCTGTCCATGATGGAGGGGCTCTTGTGGCATTTGTGTCTGGCACGATATACATTGTACTTCAGACAGCCATCTCGTATAAGTTGTACAAGGAATATCCACAGTGGTGCACTCCATGTATATGGCACACAAGGCTGGTCCTCTCTGTCATGACCATAATGGCTCTTTTCCCCAGTATCCTTTCTAGTGTGGTCTAGGCACCCAACTGTGCATAAGACAGCTGACAGACTGTATCTTATTTTCAGTTCTTGTAATACTTTTACTGTATCACTAAACTTTAGTGCCTTAAAGTTATTTAATCTTCTTTTAGGTTAAGGTGGAATTTGGAAATGCTATTTTACTAATGATATAATGATGTGCAATGAGTTATTTTTTTAAAACAATGAGATTGCAAGGATCCCTTTTGAAAAAGAGGAAGATGAAATCTTAATTTTAAAGTGCATCTTTAGATTTTCCGGCATTTTGTCAGGGTTTATTCTAGTCTTATATCATTCTCTTATCAATCTCAAGATTGTTGTGGGCAAAATGCAATCCAATGGGGACATTTTGGGCTCTTCCCCAAATTAACCTCCCCTCCCAAAAGCTGTTTTCATTGGTTCCTACAGAACATGGAGGGTTTTTTCAGTTTTTTAAAAAACAATGTCTTGACAATACAGTAGTTAAAACTATTTATCAGCTTCATGCAACCAGCAAGCAAGAAAACAAACAAACAAATATGTGTACCATCCAGCTGATAGGGAATCTGAAAATGGCTCTCTGTCCTGCTGAAGTCACTCACCCCTGTTTTAAAGTAACAAAAAGTAGTGGAAAAGCAACTCAGATAGCACCGATTATTGGCAACGAATTACAATGAATTACAATATAATGAGTAAAGGAAACTCTTTATGTTTAGTAACTCATACATATGGATATTTGTCCCACTGTTTGGTGTGTTGTGGGTACAGATCGGTTTGCTCTTTTTTCCAGTTACCGCATAATATAATTGCTAGATTGGACCAAATTGCCCCCAGAGCAATCTAACCTGTACTTTTTTGAGCCCCTATCAGGGGCTTATACTTTTTTTGGGTGTGGGTTGGTACACTCTAGTTTAGTCCATTCCCAGAGTGTGCAGTTATTCAGAAAGCTACCAAAGCTCCTTACTCTGTCAGTTTCTGGTATCATGAAGTAGCTTAATAAAATGAACTACTTCAGGGTATCAGCAGATTGAACACTTCTTCTGCTCCTCTGTTAGATCATTGCCATTGAACTGACTTCCCAATCTATCTCCAGATGGGGCACCTCTACCATTCATTTGGCTTATCAGCTTGCTCGACAACCAGCCCCTAGAATGGTTCACCCTCACTCCACCAGGGCAGTGGCAGCCTCTACAGCCTTTCTCTGTGGCGTAACTCTTCCGGACGTCTGAGCCTCTGCCACTTGGGCACAGCCGTCCACGTTTATCCATCATTATAGACTCGACCTCCGACAAAGTCTGATGCGGCATTTGGAGATGCTGTTCTAGCCTCTACCTTGGCCTGACACCCTGCCTCTGGGTAAGACAGCTTATTGTCACCCAGGGTGTAATTCAGATAGGCCACAAAGAAGAACGACAGGTTATCCACCTGTAATTGTAGATCTTCCAGTGGACCTCCGTGATTCACACATCCCGCCTGTCCTCCCCTCTGTCACGCCATTGTTTGCTTACTATTAAGTGGCGGTTGACACAACTGAAAGGGGACGCTTGGCACCAAGGAACTTATACGAGTGGGGAGGGCCATATTCTGTTGCTTTTATTGCGACTGCAGAAGAATCTTCCAGTGATGCTCCGTGCAGGTGCAAATCACCCACGGTGTGAATCACAGAGGTCCACTCAAAGAACTACAATTACAGGTGGGTAACCTGTCAGTTTTTTTGCTTTGTGACCAGGGCCTTAGTGTGCTATGATGTAGTACTTTTCATCTAAAGTTCTACTAAACCAATAATGCTTAATGTTGTTTTCTGGTTCACAATTTTTTTCTCCATAAAAGATTGATCATTTCCAAATGCAGAGACTCCTCCCCCCCCGCCCCCAACCTCTGATGCCTGCATTGTGCAGGTGGCTGGACTCAAATGGCCTTAGAGGCCCCTTCCAACTCCATTGTTCTATGATTCTATGAACCAGAGGTTTGTTCTGCAGCAAAACTGAGAACATTTTTCTGTGTTTGAATTTCATGTCTGGCTTGTGGACAAGATAAAGTTCCTGGGTGATACTGCACGATATAGATCATCTTAAAGAAACAAAAACATTTTAAAAAATTGGATCAGACCTATATATTGCTTTCATTGGTTCCAGTGAAGCCTAGTTAAGCAGCAGCAGACAGAGGATAGTATGTTTGAAGTATTCCTTTTTAAATCCATTGTTTCCTTTTAACTCCTCTTTCTCCAGTGATTGCATGTGCTTCACTAATTTCCGTCACAAAAATAGACTGGAATCCAGGGGAAAAGGTAAAACTTCACTAGATAAAACATTTCTTATTTCTGCCAGCAGCTCAATGGTGTTTAAAGTAGGGAATAGATGACTTTGCTGGTCAGTTTGAAGCTATGCAGAGTTCTTTCAGTAGACTTTTCAGGGGGTAGCTGTATTAGAATGTTCTATACCAGCAACAAGAACAGAGTGTTGTTGCACCTTAAAGACAGCTACATTTAATTTGGTGTGAGCTTTTATGGATTGCATATAGGAAGCTGCCTTATTGTGGGCCAAACCGTTAGTCCATCTAGCCCCAATTTGTTAAATTTTGGCTTGCAAATGCTTGTTAGGTTTTCAGACAGGATCTCTCGCAGTCCGTTTTATTCTCTGGTGATCTCCTGTTCAAGTACTAACCAGACTGAACCAAGCTCTGAACCCAGTGGTAAAGCGATAACTCTAGTTGTATTGAATCAAATAGCCTACAGTCTCCAAAAGCTTATACGAATTAAAACATCTTAGTCTTTCAGGTTGCCACAAGACCTGTTTTTTTTTTTTCAGATTTTCAGATTTCTTAAGATTGTTCAGATTGTCCCTTTGTAGAAGCTACTGAATTGAAACATTATTTTGACCTCTCCTTTGGAGGACAGGGAGGGGTGATGTTTTGTATTTCTTTTTAAGGCATCAACAGTACTTTGAAAGTTTTTTTTTTGTAGTGCTGTAGAAGCAATTGCTGATTTGATGCAGTGTTTAGCAACCATTAAAAACAAGTGAGACATCTTTTTGTCTCCCTTCCACTCCAGAGGGAAGGAAGATTTAAAGGAAAAGTTTCCCATTGCTCAATTGAGGCATGGGGCGAAACCCTTTCAAAACATTGCCGATACTTTAGTAAACATTAAAAAGAAATACAAAATGTCACCCGTTCCCTGCCCACCAAAGGAGAGCTCAGAGGACGTTTTCACTTAAGTAGTGCCTGCCAAGGGACAGCCAGCCATCTGCTTTGGGTTGATCCCAGGGAGTTAGCCATGTCAATCTGTAACTAAGAGTCCTGTGGCACCTGAAAGCCTAACCAATTTGATTTCACATAGAGTGACCAGATGAAAGAGGATAGAATTCCTGTGTCTTCGATAATTGTTTAGAAGAAAAATGTTCAGTAGGTTCTGCTTTTGGTGCAAGTTTACACCTGCTGAAATTTCCTCCTCCACGCAACTGTTCAAGGTGCAGGAACCTTGCCCTCTTTTTCATCTGGCCAGTCTAAGTTCACATCACTGTCCATGGGCTGTGTCCTGTTTTATCAGATGCAACTGTTAAAGAGTGGCGGCAATCCACAAAAGTTTATGTCAAAGAAAATTTGCTTGGCTTAAAGGAGCCACAAGACTCATTCTCCTTTCCTCTCCTTTGATAAAAGGGTGAAATGGTTCCATGAAAAAACAACTGTACAGCCTTCAGAGATGGGAAATTGCTTTGTGAATGTTTAGAAGCTGAGCATAGAGTTGGAGGATGAGGAGGGATGTGGGATAAATGTAGGAGGAAAATGAGATTGCAGAAGCCTCCTTGTGGTGATAGTGACTGTTAATCTCCACCACATTCATCCATTATATGCACTGATTTAATAGAATATGCTATATCTCTGATGGTGAGATTCTCAATCTGTGAAAGCTTGTGCTGCAATAAATGGACTTTATCTTTAAGATACCTTCAGACTTTTTGTTTTTGGCTGGAGTTCAGATGTACAACAAAAACAAAAGAGTATCCATGGTGTTTTTAAGGTTAATGGATTTATTTCTGTGGGAGCTTTCATGGATTGCAATCTGCCTCTTTACAGGTGCTTCCCCTCTCTAAAAGGTAAAGGTACCCCTTGACATTTTTAGTCCAGTCGTGTCCGACTCTAGGGGGCGGTGCTCATCCCGTTTTCAAGCCGTAGAGCCAGCACTTGTCCGAATACAGTTTCCATTGTCATGTGGCCAGCATGACTAGGGAACAGCACTGAGATGGTACCTATTTATCTACTCGCATTTACATGCTTTCGAACTGCTAGGTTGGCAATGAGCTGGGACAAAGCGATGGGAGCTCACTCCGTCGCGTGGATTCGATCTTACGACTGCTGGTCTTCTGACCCTGCAGCACAGGCTTCTGCAGCTTAGCCCACAGTGCCACCACATCCCCTCTCTAAAATCTGCTAAAAATACCTTGTTCATGGGACATGCTTATACCACAAGAGGGAGCACTTGCCCTATAAATCCAGAATATAACTGGGGGGGGGGCTGCATCTGGCTGCAGCAGTCTTGTGACAGTGTAAATACTCACTTAATAAGGTGTAAAGAGTGCTGCAAAAGTAGCATTTTAGGAATCTACATTTAAATGTTGCCAGCTCTATGCCCTATTAGACCTGGGGTTAATATTAGGCAGCATGGATGTCATTTGCATTTTAATTCATTTTTGTAGGCCTTGGAACCCCCATGATAAAAAATATAAAAGATGAAGAACTGCATTTCCAGACATCCCGAGGAAGCACCATCCACCTTCAAAACAAAGCATTCAGCATCTTTATTTCAATAATAATAATAACTGTTAAAAAACAAGAGCAAAAAGAAGCAGATACTTCCTGGTTTTATTTATTCAGAGTGCTGGTAATGCACACCAGGTCTGTGTGGGTAGAGAAATGACTTAGATACTCTCAGAATAATAATAATAATAATAATAATAATAATAAATGTTTAAAAACAAGAGCAAAAAGAAGCAGATACTTCCTGGTTTTATTTATTCAGAGTGCTGGTAATGCACAGTAGGTATATGTGGTTAAAGAAATGACTTAGATACTCTCAGAAGTTGTCCATCCATGCATTAGATCTTTTGTAACTGTCCCTGGTGCAGCCCTTTGATCCAACTTAACTTAAAGAGCCTCGTGGCACAGTGGTTAAACTGCTGTACTGCAGCCAAAACTGTGCTCACAACTTGGCGTTCAATCCCAGGTAGCCGGCTCAAGGTTGACTCAGCTTTCTATCCTTCCAAGGTCAGTAAAATGAGTATCCAGCTTGCTTGGGTGTGTGTGTGTGTGGCGGCAATGTGTAGTCTGCATAATTAACTTGTTAACTGCCTAGAGAGTGCTTGAAGCACTTGGGGGCAGTATATAAGCAGCAACAGTATACTGCCCCGTAGTTGCTTAAAGTCTGGGTGGTTTATTGCAGTGTTCCCCAACCTTGGGCCTCCAGATGTTCTTGGACTACAACTCCCAGAAGCCTTCACCACCACTTCTGCTGGCCAGGATTTCTGGGAGTTGAAATCCAAGAACATCTGGAGGCCCAAGGTTGGGGACCATCTTATTGTAAGATGGCTAAAAGGTTTATAATCTGAGAAGCATTTCAAACAGCAAGGATTGTCATGGAAGCATTCAATTTAGTATATTGTTTTATTTATTTAAAAATAAGTGATGTTTTTAATTTAAAAACCTGAATCCATGTTTTAAAAGAAAAACAGAAATTCTTCATTTAAAAAAAAAGAGAAATAGCAATTACTGTTGTATTGGACTTTGTTTTTACTTGTTTCTATTCTACTATGGGACCTTTGGTGTCAAGCTAAATTTAGTATGTAGATAGTGTTGTTTCTGTTTATTTTAGGAGTATGTGTATCATTTGGTAGGCGCAGTGTGCGAATGGATCGTAGCCTTTAGTTTTGAGATGTTCTTCTTAACTTTTGTCTCAGACTTTCAGGTGAGTATAATGGACAGAGAGTTCCATGTTCAGAACAAAAAACAGCACTTCTGTCAAGATTTCCCTTGATCTGTATGAGGGATGCAATTAATCACTAGAATAAACTTACAGAAGTGTTTTATTCTATTTTGAAGAAAATGCAGTCAGCCTAGAATGAGGTTGTAATTTGGACAGAAAGTTAGGAGGGGGAACTGCAAGCTGCCAGTTTACTGGTACCACCCTTCTGCTGTTGGCCCCAAGATTGTTTTTTTCCCCCTTTGTTAGCCTATTTGAAAAGTGTGGGTCTTTGCCAAAATACCAACTCCAGTAAAGAGAAAGCTTTAGTTGCATAAACTATATAGTTTGGAGGAAAAAAAGGAAGGATCTGCTATAATGGCTACACAGTTTAGAGTGAAACTAAACAATGACTGTCACATTCCTTCCTGTCCCCTGGTTGCTTCACCAATCAAAGGGCACAAGCTATGTGTTGTGTCGTTGCCACCAGTTGATTACATCAACATTATGTATTATTAATAATAGAGGTCCAGGCAATGTGTCAGTTTAAATAGAACCAAATAGTTGTTTATTATTACAGGTGATGAAGATACAATCAATATCTTTAACTCTTAACGAAACGTCTCACTTCATCCACCCTCAACCACCAACCCTTTCTCTGTACCCCAAACTCCAAAACCACCAATCCTCAAATCCAAAAACTCTCGATCTCCAAACTCCCAATCTCTCCCTCCTCCTGCTGCAGAGACTTATATTTCGTGGCCCTGCCTCTCCAGCACTCTCATTGGTCCATGCATATGGCATATTCATATTCATGACCTGGGCAGAAGGCACAATCAATTTATCACATTTTCTGCATGTGATTTTGCCCAGCTCCTGATGCTTGTGAAGTGAATAATTTGTGATGAGTTGCTGACTTTGTTGTTTTTGTTTTTTCTTCTTTTCATTCTAGAGGATTACCATGCATGTAACAATGGAAATACATTGAAGCCCCTGACAACTTTATGTTATGATTAGTATTTAGATATTGGTGTTCTTATTTAAAAAAAAACTGCTGTGGAGCGACAAGACCAGTCAGAACTGATGTGACTGCAGGCTGTGGCATCAGTGCTGTGATTTGGATAATCACAATCAAGGAAGAGACTCTCTTAAAAGTCTATCAACATTCCTTAATGTATTGTAATCGGGTTCTGTATCTTTTTTGTGCAATTCTTCCATTTTGGCGGGAAATAAAACTGGAGACGTTTTAACAGTGTTCAGATTGTTGTCTTTATTTGTTTCACTTATTTCTAACATATTGTTCATTGGATCAAAACACGTCAACTCAGGCAACTGGCCATAATTAGGAGAACAGACATCTCTTCCAAAGTCTGAGGAACTCACAGGGGTGCTCGGCCAAACCGCTGTCAGTCGGTAGGTCTCAGGAGAGGAGCGCTCCTCACAGCACAGATCGTCCCACAACATGGATGTCTGGCCCAGTCTCCTTCCTCTGGCAGTGTGTTAAAGCTGCTGTCAGGTCTAATCACATCTCTTCCGCCTCTGGATCCTCGTGGAAATACGATAACGGTCCACTTATGTGAAGCAATCCTGGCTGGTCTCTTGGTCTTAGGAGTGGATCAGGCAGCAGCTCTCCCACTCTCAGGTTGAGAAAATCCCTTAACAGTTCTTGAGTTTTTACATAATCAACTTCTCACCGTCTTTCATCCCTTCTTCTCTTCATGTCTTCCTCCGATACTGCCTCAAACCACTGCTCCCCCTGTCCACTTATACTCTCCCCCCAAATTGACAGCTCCTGCTCCTCCGCTTTTCCCTTTGCTCCTTCTTCCACCAGACAGATCTCCACATTCCCTTTCTTTTCCTCTGACACAATTTCCTTGTTTTCCTCCACAATCTCCATCTCTTCACCTACTATATCCTTTTTATCATCATCCATCCCTTCTATCACAGATTCTATTATCACGGATGGCTCACTCTCACTTATTCCTCCTTCACATGTATCGTTTTGACTATTGAGCCACATTCTAAAAACTGTATATATACATTTTCTTCATGTTTGTTTGTTATTTTAAAATGAATATCTGGAAAATGCAGCTTCTCAAGAAAGCAGAAGATATATTATTCCTTCTTTGTACTGAAGTTTCCTTTTAAAAATATGGCAGGAGAAAATAGATGTCATTGAAATAAAATTTATATTGCAATCAAATGCCCAGTTACTTTCAAGTTAGTCCCATTGGTTTCAGCAGGTCTTTCTTTCAGGTGAATGTGCTTCAGACTGCTCTTCAATATGCCTACCATTTAGAGTGTGGAAAGTTTAGAACAAGAAATGGTTCAAATGGTGCTTTCATAGGCCTTAACTCATGACTAGGTTGGCCTGTTGATTTGAAAGAATAGATATAGATATGGTAGGCCCGTTGACCAAATCATCAGGAGTACATACCCCCATTCTGGTGATTATAGATTACGCAACTAGATACCCAGAGGCAATTCCATTAAGATCCAGAACCACTAAAGTCATAGCCAGAGAATTGATGCAAGTATTTACAAGGTTAGGTTTTCCAAAAGAGATATTAATGGACCAAGGAACTAATTTTATCAGTCAAACATTAAAAGAAATGTGGCAACTATTAGACGTTAGACCAGTCCATACCACTGTGTATCATCCGCAGACTAACGGCCTTGGAGAAAGGTTTAACAAGACCTTGAAGGGGATGCTCCGGAAATTAGTAATGGACAAACCCAGGAGATGGCACTTGCTAGTGGCTCCTTTGATGTTCAGTAGGAGAAGTACCACATGCATCCACAGGGTTTTCCCCCTTTGAAATGATTTATGGATGGAACTCTTGAGGGATATTAGATTTGAACAAAGAAAAATGGGAAAGTGGAAAAGATGAAGCACAGATAACAATCCAACAAGTGATAGAAATGAGAGAACATTTGAAAAAAAGTGACTGAGCTGGCACAAACAAACCTGAGCAGAGCGCAGCAGGGCCAGAAAAGGAGATATGATTCGTGTGTGGTGCCTAGACAGTTTAGGTAAAGGTTCCCCTTAACATTTTTTTTTAGTCAGTCATGTTCGACTCTAGGGGGTGGTGCTCATCCCTGTTTCCAAGCTGTAGAGCCAGCGTTTGTCCAAAGACAGTTTCTGTTGTCACGTGGCCAGCGCAACTTAGACCTGGAACACCGTTTACCTTCCCACCGAGATGGTACCTATTTATCTACTCGCATTTACATGCTTTCAAACTTCTAGGTTGGTGAGGGCCTGGGACAAAGCGACGGGAGCTCACTCTGTCATGTGGATTCGATCTTACAACTGCTGGTCTTCTGACCCTGCAGCACACAAAGGCTTCTGCGGTTTAGCCCGCAGCGCCACCACGTCCACCTAGACAATTTACTCCCAGGCAAAAAAATTTGCTTTTATTACCCACTGACATTGTGAAGTTGTTTGCAAAGTGGCAGGGACCTTATGAAGTCATTAGACAGATAGGGAAAGTCGATTATAAGATCAAGACCCCAGACAAAAAGAAGAAAACAGGGATTTACCATGTTAATTTACTAAAGAAATGGAGAGAGAGAGAAGTCCTATGGGGCACGATAGAGGAGGAGGAGTTAGGGCCAGAAGCCATGTTATGCATACAAGAGAATCAGGAGATACTGTACTATTAAAGGAAGATTTAAGCAAAACACAGAGAGAACAGATTCACAAACTTAAGAGAGAGTTCAAAGATCTTTTCTCTAATAGACCAGGATCTACACAAGGGGTGGAACATCAGATTAATACAACAACTAATGTGGTAGTGAGGAGTGGAGGAAGGAATTGGCCTTACCATCTGAAGGATGTCATAAACCAAGAAGTAGATGAAATGTTGGCCTTAGGGATAATAGAACCATCCTATAGCTGCTGGAAGAGTTATCCAGTAGTAGTGCCCAAACCTCACAGAAAAGTGAGACTATGTATAGATTTTAGAAAATTAAATGACGTTTCTAAATTTGATGCGTACCCTATGCCTAAAGTAGAAGATTTGTTAGAAAGGCTAGGGGGCACATAGTTCTTGACATTCTTAGATTTAACGAAAAGTTATTGGCAAATTCCCCTAAGAGAGGCGGATAGAGAAAAAAACAGCTTTTGTGATGCCCAAAGGGTTATTCCATTTCTTAAAAATGCCATTTGGGTTGCATTGTGCAGTGGCAACCTTCCAGAGATTAATGGACAAAGTCCTAGAACCAGTTAAAGACTTTGCTGGAGAATACATTGATGACATATTGGTTTTCAGTCCAACATGGGAAGAACATCTTAAACATTTGGCTGCAGTGTTGAATGAATTGAGAAAAGCAGGTTTGACAGTCAATCCCACTAAGTGTAAGATAGCTAGGGAAGAGGTGAATTTTTTAGGATATCAGATTCATAAAGGGAAGATACAACCCACTTCGGATAAAGTAGAAAAAATAGAATATTTAGAATCATAAAACCTCCCTAAAAGGGCCCAATCTATCTTTGGGAAGCGGGGAATTCCACAGATTGGGATCTGCCACTGAAAATGCCCTTTTAGGTCCCAGCAAATGTTCCCATAATAGTGGTGGGGCCAAGAGAAGGCTGAGAAAAAGTGCTCCCACAGGAGGCTAGACGGGCCCATCTTTACTGTCCCTCTGCAAGCAGGCAAAGACCTTTCTCTTCAGGCAAGCTTTCCCTGAGTGACTGACTGATTGGGTCTTTTAAAATAGATTTTTGTACCTTACTACACCAAGTGTGTCTTGATGTTGCTTATGTTTTCTGGTACTCATTTATTGCTCCTTGTAGTATTGTATGCTCACTGTTATTACCTTAAATACTGTCTTTTAATTGTTTTAAGCTGTTTATGTTCTTTTATTGGAAGAAATGTGAGATATTAATAAAGTAAATAAATAAATGAACTGATAGGAGAATGACTCTAAACTTGAGTCATTCCTTTTTAAGGAGAAACGTGGATTAAAAATAGTTTAAATAAATACATAAATAAATAATTTTCAGTTCTAGCGTTTCTTTTTAATAAAAAGTAATGGAAAGTAGAGAAAAAGTAAGAGAAGTACAAAAATAATATATAATACAGTTTCAATTACTACACAAGCAAATAATTTTTAAATACCACAATGAATAACAGGAATGATTTTTTTAGTTCATGATTAAAAGCAGGGACCATGATTTCTCAGTGGGGATGTTGACCTACTTGCTTGAGTCAAGTTTCTTGACAGACTGCTGTGCAACAAGTTATGCACTAAGCCCACACGTTGCATGTTATCCTCAAGAAATGCTCTTGCAACTGCAGTGTACAGAAAATAACAGCGCCAAATAAGGATGAGCTGGGGCATAAATCCAGCTTTGCCTCACGCTCTTGTCATGGAATACAGATGTATCCGTTCTGAAAAAGCAATTCAGTGTCAAACTTTTTACTGTGATTTATGCCCATCTCTTCCAGCTCAATGAGTGGATAATTCTAAAGCTTCTCTGCTGGCCTGTCTAGTATCCTGCAGATCTTTGCTTGAAAATCACTCTGTAGTGGTTTATAAGTCATAGGGAGGGAGATAATAAGGCTCGGAACCATTATAACTTTTCTACAGTTAGTAGAATTGGACATTTACTCTGGGTATTGGTCTGTTTCTGGGCACAGTGAAAAACAGTATTGGTTTGAGCCCTATACAGCTGGGGTCTAGGCCCATGTTCCCACAGACAAACCTGTTAGTGCCTTTAGCATTTAGGCTGAAATGTTGTAAAAGCAGCTTTTAACCCTGTAAGTGCTGTCTTTTATTCTTTTTATTTGTTTTTGACTACTTTTAAATATTCATATTTAAAATGCTTTCAACTAGTACAATTTTATTTTTTTATTCATTTAATTGTTCATCACTTTGAATCTTATATGTTGGGAGAATTTGAAGGCATTTAGTGAATGGATGAATGAGCGAATATTTAGCTTAGTACTGATGATGATATTTATATAGAATGCTGTATGAAAGGATGGAAAAAACATTGGAAATGCAGATTAAAAGCCATAAACTTTAGGTAGAAGGGAGAGGATTTTTTTTGCAGCTCCATGGACTTGCAGTGTTTTATTTTTTATCTTTATTTTTTGGTATTTTTTTTCTTCAGCCGGAACAAATTAATCAGTTTTCAATGCATTCCTATGGGAAATGGTGTTTCTACTTATGAACGTTACAATTTACAGCCACCGTTCCGGAACGGATTAAGTTCCTAAGTAGAGGTACCACGGTACTTTCTAACCCTAGGTGGATTTTTCATTTGGCTTTTGTAACTGATACCACAGAGCATCTGAACGTAATTGAATCTAAGGTTGTAGGGGAAAGGAAAGCTTGTGTGTGACATATACAGTGGTGCCCCACATACGAGGTTAATCTGTTCCGGATTAACCCTCGCTATGTGAAATCGTCCCTAAACGGAATGTAAAAGCCCATTGGAACGAATTAAACATCGTTTAATGCGTTCCAATAGGCCCTAAACTTACCGTTCTGCGAAGTTTCTTCCATAGCGGCAGCCATTTTCGCCCCTTCGGTAAGCAAGGGGAGGGCGCGAAAATGCTGCGCGTGGCCATTTCGGGCATCCGGTGGCCATTTTCAGGCGGCCATTTTAGAACCGCCAAACAGCTGATTGCCCGACTCTGTGGGAGGTTTGGGGGGTCGGCAGCAAGAGGAGGAGAAGAGGGAAAGTGGGGGGGAGGACGCGCGAGCGCGCGGCTTCCCTCCCTTTGCCTGCCTGCCTCCATCTGAAGTCACACCAGAAGATTCAAGTAACTTTTTTTGTGATTGAACTAATTGATTTGCAAGCCAGTGATCACCTCAGAGACATTTTCAAAGAAAATAGTCTGTTAGGTTTCTGTTCTGGTCTACCTGATATCTTTATCAACCTAAAGAAAGTTCCTGCAGGCATGTTGACAGTCTTTGGCACGACATACGTCTGTGAACAAACTTTCCAAAATGAAAAATGTGAAATCCAAGTGTAGGTGTGATTGAGGAGTATTAGTGAGCCATCCATAGTGTTCGAGGCTGTAGAAGAAGATAGAAAGTATGAGAAAAGAGAAGTCAGAGGGTGAAGGACTGACAGTTACAATGAAGGCGGGAGACGTTGAATCAAGGGAGAAGGCAGGAAAGATAGAGTTTAGCTTGGTGGAGGAAGGTAAATGTGGAAAGGGGGAAGAGAAAGAATTGGCAGTATGGGAGGAGGATATAAATGAGGAGGGCGTACGTTGGTTTAGCTCAGTGGTGGTGGAGTACGAAAGAAAGAGAATAGAAGCACGAAAGAAGGCATTTGAGAATATAAGAACCAAGGGACTTTTGAGGGATTTCCCCAATCTAAAGGTAGGGGGATTGCTACCAGAACCTGAACATGAGAGAGCGAAACCGACTCAATATGTGACAAACGAATGGACAGTAGCACCTCGAGAGCTTGAACTCCAAAGAGAAGCTGAGATTGCCCACAACAGATTTTACGACCATCCGTACGAAAGAGGCTGGATTCACCACGCTTGCTGTGGGACTATCTGCGCCCTGAGAAACACTCCTCTCCAGAAGTCAGATTACAGGGAATGGCATGGGAGAATTCACTGTTAAGTGCATGAGACTATGGGGAAAGTTTTGCTTCTGTGAGTTGCGTCTTGTTGCCTGAGTTAAGATTGTTTGACCCTATAAGTAATGTGCTGGAGGAAGAAAGTCTTAATAAAAGCAATAGTTTAAAAGTTATCAAGATGTCTCCTTTTTTATTTCCCGCGGAAACAGAGGAGGCACAAAAATCACACTCACTAAGCATGTAAAATGATTCTACAGTAAAATATTGTTCCAAAATGGATTGTATTCCAGTTAATGTTTCTTGACTTCTGGAGTGGATTCTGACCCATGAAAGCTCACACTGTAAACAATTCTGTTAATCTTTATGGGCTGCAATATTTTCTAGAGACTGCTGTGAAGCTATGAAATTATTTATTTCCCCAAATAAAGAAGAAAATACATGGAATACATACTCAGTTTTGCTCAGAAGCAATATATTCCTGGACGAGTCCATTTCTGCTCAAGTTTGCTCATTCTGCCTTTCCTCCCTTTGAAGCAAACGGTGATACTGTACAGTATTTACATCTTAACAGGGTGTGGTGTGTATGGAAGAAGAATGGTATCCACATTTCTAATGA